TGGGGGGCCCCAGCCCCGGGCATGCGGCTATGAGGGGGCCGCCCCCGGGCGCGCAAGTGTCCCTGCCCCCTGGCGCCCGGCAGGCGAACGGCCACGCCCCCTGGCACCCGGCAACCTCTAATGGTTGGGGACCACTGTTGTAACTCATCTAATCTGCACATGGGAAGGCTCCTCCCTATACACAAATATTTCAGTACATTAGAGTGGCCCCAGCCCCGGGCATGCGGCTATGAGGGGGCCGCCCCCGGGCGCGCAAGTGTCCCTGCCCCCTGGCGCCCGGCAGGCGAACGGCCACGCCCCCTGGCACCCGGCAACCTCTAATGGTTGGGGACCACTGTTGTAACTCATCTAATCTGCACATGGGAAGGCTCCTCCCTATACACAAATATTTCAGTACATTAGAGTAGTATAGAGTGTAAAGGCCTGACCCTTAGAAGAGCTGAAAACCTACTGAGGCTATTTTCTATACTGAAACCACTACAGCAGCACAGTTGCGGTGTTTTCATGTGTCCACTCTCTACACTGATGGTATGGGTTCTCCAGTTGCTGTAGTCAATCCACATTCTCAAGTGCTAATAGCTAGATCAACAGAAGAATTCTTCCATTGACCTAGTGCTGTCTACACCCAGTGTTAGGTACACTTAACTGTTTCTGAGGGGCATTGGTACCAACTCCATGGGTGCTCTAGGGCTGGAATGGTCTGGAGCGAGGGGAGGGCAAGCACTCCTGTGAAAATTATAACGTTGGCACCTCTGGTCAGAAATATGGATTTTTCACACCCCACAGTGACAATGGTCGGATAGTTAAACCTGTTAGTGTAGACCTGGTCTTAGTTCAGTGAGAATTACAGGTGCTCAGTAGAGGCTTGATCCAAGACCCATTGAAGTCAGTGCAAAGACATCCATTAATTTCAATGGGCAGAGAATCAGATTGTAGGTCAAGGATGGACAACCACTAATAGTGGGTGGGCTGCAGGAGTGGCCTTCCTTCACTTCAGAGGGCTCCCCTCCCCCCCACACCACTCATGCACTGGGGCACCATAGCCCCACACTTGCCTACTCATCCTTCTCGCAGCACTTTCAGAGCATGCAAATCACCTGATTCATGCTCTGGCCTTATCTTCCTCTCTGTCCCAGAGCTAGAACACCATGATGAGAGAGGAAGAAATGGGCACAAAGTGCAAGTCAGGCACTTAGTGTCTCCTTCAGAAGTGCTAGGAGGGAGTGGGAAGATGAAGAAAGTGTGGGGCTATGGTGCCCCAGAGCCCAAGGTGTGTGGGAGAGGGGGGGCAACCAGGGGCTCTGTGAGCTGCAGGTTGCCCACCACTGTGTTAGGTGGTAAGCACCACTTAGGATCAGGTCCACTTAGGTTTTAACGACAGAAAAGTTTTGCTTCAAGTGGATACCAGTACAAACCACATTCAGGCTTTTACCAGTTTTTAAAGAGTGCTAAGTGGTGTAGTTTTGTAGCGTGAACAAGGTGTAAGACACCAAATGCAAAATAATGTTTTTGGAACCTGATCCAAATCTGTTTCTGTAAATGGCAATCTTTCCACTGCATTTAGAATACTTTTAATCAGATCTCTAGGTACAGACCAGCCTGTACACCAAGGGTAGGGAATCTTTTTTGGGTCGGGGGCTGCTGACCCACAGTAAAATCAGTCAGGGGCTGCACACAAGTGAGGAGCAAAATGAGAAACCCCTGACTGAGAAGGAGAAGGACACTCATCACATTCCCCTTGCACATGAGAACCTGGGGGGTCCAGGCTGGTAGATTTTGTGTGCTTCAGCCCTATGGATGGGTGGCAGAGGGGATGGAGCACCAGCGCATGTTCCCCCATGTGGGGTGGGGTGGGGTGGAGAATCCCTGAGGCTCAGAGGCCGGATCCAGGCAAGCTGTGGGCCACATCCGGCCCTCAGGCCTGAGGTTCCCCATCCTTGCTGTACACTGACGAAGAACTGTAACTTAGCAACAATGGAAGAAGCCAAGTTGGTAATAAGTTACAGTAAAGACAAACATGATGTTAGTGCCTGATCCTTTCCTGCCTTTTACCTTTTATAGCCAGTTATGCTTGTGTAGACCCACTATATCCCTTTCAGGAATCTGATAAATATACCTTGCATGGTCCCAAGTTTCACTTCACTTAACTTATTTCATTATAAAATCAGACATAAAAAAGTTTCATAACACATTATTACTGAAAATTTGTTTACTTTCTCATAATTATGTAGTAAAAATAAATTAATCAGAATATAAATATTGTACTTATATTTCCATTTATACTTACATTTACTCTTACTGTTTTTGAATAGATATACACAGACAGACGGAGAGATAAACTCTCTCGAATATATACAGGTTGGACCTCTCTAGTCTGGCACTCTCTGTTCCGGTAACATCTGTAGTCTGGCATGATTTTAGTTAGCCAGATGTCCACTTATCATGGATGTGGCCAAGTTTCCTGTAAAGTTTGTTTACAGCCACCAGTCCTCGTTCTCAGTGTTCTGTGCTCTTATTTAGCTCTAATTTACCCCTAAATGTCTTCTAAGAGCCCAATAAGCAGCGGAAGTGTTGGTAATGCTGCTAGGCAATATTGGCCTCATGTGGTTTGACAAATTCTCTGGTTCAGCACCGGTCATGTCCCGAGGGTGCTGGACTAGAGAAGTTCAACCTGTATTACCAAGAGTGCTATTATTGACCTCAAGGATCAGATCCTGGGAGGGTTGACGGGGAGGGAAAAGAAGACAGACTACAGGAGGAATGGCTTCAGCATAAAAGGGGCACTAGAAGGTGTTGTATTCATCCATTCCTTAACAGATGGAAGGATTGTTTCTACCATGTGAGACAATTGGAACCTTTGAACAGAGAAAAAACGTAGAAGGGGAAAGATGAGTCTCTTCATCTCTCCCTTTTTCAAAAAGAAAGGGATCCTCAAACAAAGGTTTAGATTAAATAGCTAGAGTAAGATGTTTAAAGAAATAAAGTTGTAGAAAGAGAGGCTGACATATGATCTGGAGGTAGAATGGAAATGTATGAAACCTATATGTTTACAGTGAATAGGGGAAATTCAGGGGAAAATGAATTATTACATTTGAGTGTGGAGATTTTATTTTAGCCTTTCTTTCAGATGATAGCTTGTTGAAACTTCTCTTTTTGTTTTTTGTTTTGCAGAAGCCCTAATAGCAGACATTCAGAAAAAGATAACAGAAGCTTTTGAAGTGTTCGACCACGAATGCAATAAAACTGTGGATGTCAGGTTTGAAAGTCTTTACACGGAAACAGTATGGAATTTTTTTCAGAGCAAAATGCTGTCCTAAATCATAAACCATTTTAACAAGAAACAAAAATGAAATAATGCCCTATGATCATCATTTTGTAACCATTTATGCAAATGCTTAATTTGATTACTATGAGTAGTCTCAGCGATTGAAGATTAATACTGAACTGGGAGACGAGGCAGTGGGCTGTCTGGGCATAGAGACTGGTACAAGAGCTGAGTGCGGGGAGAAACGGGGGTTGGTTGGGCAAGGACTATGGGAGTCTAGGGATGTGGAGAATGAGATTAGATGACAAGCTGGGTGGGGAAAGGGAGGGCTGAGGCTGGAACAAAGTTAGGCTCACGTGGAAGAAGTGCAAAAGAGTTTATATCCACTAAAGCAAACACCCCTCCAGAACCCAAAATGAAACCCAAGAATGATATTATAGGGTGAAATCCAGACTAGTGAACGGCATTGTCATTCTTGCCCTGTAACCTGGGGTGCCCCACAGTGTTTTGCTACTGTAGCATCTACCTAGGCTTCTCACAAACAGCCTTCCAGCTTGCAGGTCACACCACAAGTGTCTCTGTATAGCCAGAGTCATGGTCCAGCAACACTGACCCCAGTAGCCTGTCAGCACATACCAGCTACACTATAGCTTCAGGCAGCTCTGGTCACTATTTGCACGGTGACCTCAACACACTCCCAATTTTGAAGTTTCCTCCAAATACATATGTTCAGCACTAGCCAACTCTCTTCTGAATAATTCAGATATATTAGCCCCATTGCTCCTCTAAAGCAATCAATATGTAGTTTACTATCCCAAATGGTGTTACCCACACCATTCACAGCACGGATTAGTTTTGATTACATAATAAAACATGTTTATTTTACTACAGAGATGGGTTTTATGTGAGTGCAACCACAAGGCTTTAAAATCAGAAATGATTATGAGAGAAATAAAGATAAAATGCTTCCCAGAACTAAAACTTAACAAACTAAACTTAAAAGCTTCAGAAGAGTAGCCAAGATAGTCTGTAACTAGCAAAACTTAAAAAACAATGAATAGTCTGTGGCACCTTAAAGACTAACAAAACATGTAGATGGTATCATGAGCTTTTATGGGTATAACCCACTTCTTCAGATGACTGGCTAAAATTCTTACCACATGCTCTGAGTACCAAGGCTGATCAAATGATTAAGATCTCTCCCAAAGTCAAATGGACTGGTATCTTTGTCATCTTAGGGGAAACAGCAAGAAATAGATGGGGAAGGGAACTTAGAGTGTTTTTGCCCTTTATTTTTATAGTTCAGTCATACTCTGGAATGTATTTTCATGAGGGTTACCACTAGATAAAGTTCATTCCCCGCTTTGAGAATGGAGTCAAGGAGTCTGGTTAATAAAAGAAGGTCCATGTGGCTGTCTGCTAAAATTCAAATAGATCTTCTCCTGCACCCTTTGTTGCCAATAAATGGCTACTTGACAATTGAATTGTCCAGAGGGGACTAGAGGTGTACGCTTAACCTTTGTTTTTCAGAAATAGGTTTACTCACTCCCCAAACTTGTCTGGCAAACAACCTTACCTCATGACTTCAGCTTATATTAATAACTTTATATAATGTTAATACATGTGTCTAACCATGATATTATTGACCAGTAAGTTACTAGTTTTCAGATTATATCTTACAAGGGATATTTGGTATAAAGATTATTACAACAATGTATAGGGTGTGAATATAAGAGTGTATTTGGTCTAGGAGCAAATATCTGTAAAATCCACTGTCAAAGTACGTGTTTCTTCCTCCTGTAATGCTGGTCTATGTACAGGGTGACAACTTACTATTGTAAGTAGTTTCTCAGTTAGCTCAAGTTGCAAAAGTGTGCACTGTGGATCTATAGGTCCAACCTTGATGATCATAGAATCATAGAATCATAGAATAATAGGACTGGAAGGGACCTCGAGAGGTCATCGAGTCCAGCCCCCCGCCCTCAAGGCAGGATCAAGCTCCGTCTACACCATCCCTGACAGATGTCTATCTAACCTGTTCTTAAATATCTCCAGAGAGGGAGATTCCACCACCTCCCTTGGCAATTTATTCCAATATTTGACCACCCTGACAGTTAGGAATGTTTTCCTAATGTCCAATCTAAACCTCCCCTGCTGCACTTTAAGCCCATTACTCCATGTCCTGTCCTCAGAAACCAAGAGGAACAAATTTTCTCCTTCCTCCTTGTGACACCCTTTTAGATATTTGAAAACCACTATCATGTCCCCCCTTAATCTTCTTTTTTCCAAACTAAACAAGCCCAGTTCATGAAGCCTGGCTTCATAGGTCATGCTCTCTAGACCTTTAATCATTCTTGTCGCTCTTCTCTGTACCCTTTCCAATTTCTCCACATCTTTCTTGAAATGTGGCGCCCAGAACTGGACACAGTACTCCAGCTGAGGCCTAACTAGCGCAGAGTAGAGCGGCAGAATGACTTCACGAGTTTTGCTTACAACACACCTGTTAATACAACCTAGAATCATATTTGCTTTTTTTGCAACAGCATCACACTGTTGACTCATATTCAACTTGTGGTCCACTATGACCCCTAGATCCCTTTCCGCCATGCTCCTTCCTAGACAGTCGCTTCCCATCTTGTATGTATGGAACTGATTGTTCCTTCCTAAGTGGAGCACTTTGCATTTCTCCTTATTAAACCTCATCCTGTTTACCTCTGACCATTTCTCTAACTTGCTAAGGTCATTTTGAATTATGTCCCTATCCTCCAAAGAAGTCGCAACCCCACCCAGTTTGGTATCATCTGCAAACTTAATAAGAGTACTCTCTATCCCAATATCTACATCATTGATGAAGATATTGAACAGTACGGGTCCCAAAACAGACCCTTGAGGAACTCCACTTGTTATCCCTTTCCAGCAGGATTTAGAACCGTTAACAACAACTCTCTGACTACGGTTATCCAGCCAATTATGCACCCACCTTATCGTGGCCCTATCTAAGTTATATTTGCCTAGTTTATCAATAAGAATATCATGCGAGACCGTATCAAATGCCTTACTAAAGTCTAGGTATATGACATCCACCGCTTCTCCCTTATCCACAAGGCTCGTTATCCTATCAAAGAAAGCTATCAGATTAGTTTGGCATGACTTGTTCTTCACAAACCCATGCTGGCTATTCCCTATCACTTTATTACCTTCCAAGTGTTTGCATATGATTTCCTTAATTACCTGCTCCATTATCTTCCCTGGGACAGACGTTAAACTGACCGGTCTATAATTTCCTGGGTTGTTCTTATTCCCCTTTTTATAGATGGGCACAATATTTGCCCTTTTCCAGTCTTCTGGAATCTCCCCTGTCTGCCATGATTTTTCAAAGATCATAGCTAAAGGCTCAGATACCTCCTCTATCAGCTCCTTGAGTATCCTGGGATGCATTTCATCAGGACCTGGTGACTTGCTGACATCTAACTTTCCTAAGTGATTTTTAACTTGTTCTTTGTGTATCCTATCTTCTAAACTTACCCTCTCTCTGCTTGTATTCACTACGTTAGGCACACCTCCAGACTTCTCGGTGAAGACCGAAACAAAGAAGTCATTGAGCATCTCCGCCATTTCCAAGTTCCCTGTTACTGCTTCTCCCTCCTCACTAAGCAGTGGGCCTACCCTGTCCTTGGTCTTCCTCTTGCTTTTAATGTATTTATAAAAGGTCTTCTTGTTTCCCTTTATGCCTGTAGCTAGTTTGATCTCATTTTGTGCCTTTGCCTTTCTAATCTTGCCCCTGCATTCCCGTGTTGCTTGCCTATATTCATCCTTTGTTAGTTGTCCTAGTTTCCATTTTTTATATGACTCCTTTTTTATTTTGAGATCATGCAAGATCTCCTTGTTAAGCCAAGCTGGTCTTTTGCCATATTTTCTATCTTTCCTACACAGCGGAATTGTTTGCTTTTGGGCCCTTAACAACGTCCCTTTGAAATACTTCCAACTCTCCTCAGTTGTTTTTCCCTTCAGTCTTGCTTCCCATGGGACCTTACCTACAAGTTCTCTGAGCTTATCAAAATCTGCCTTCCTGAAATCCATAACCTCAATTGTGCTGGTCTCCCTTCTACCTTTCCTTAAGATCATGAACTCTATTATTTCATGATCACTGTCCCCTATACTGTCTTCCACTTTCAAGTTCTCAACTAGTTCCTCCCTATTTGTTAAAACCAAATCCAGAACAGCTTCTCCTCTGGTAGCTTTTTCAACCTTCTGAAACAGAAAGTTGTCTCCAATGCAGTCCAGAAACTTATTGGATAGCCTGTGCCTCGCTGTGTTAGTTTCCCAACATATGTCTGGATAGTTGAAGTCCCCCATCACCACCAAATCTTGGGCTTTGGATAGTTTTGTTAATTGTTTAAAAAAGGCCTCATCCACCTCTTCCACCTGGCTAGGTGGCCTGTAGTAGACTCCTAGCATGATATCACCCTCGTTTTTTACCCCTTTTAGCTTAACCCAGAGACTCTCTACACAGCTATCTCCTACGTTCATCTCCACTTCAGTCCAAGTGTGTACATTTTTAATATACAAGGCAACCCCTCCTCCCTTTTTTCCCTGTCTGTCCTTCCTGACAGAATGTGCTCAGCATGTTTGTCTTAGACCTGCCCACTCTTCCCTGTTGAAGAAACAAAAACATGAACAGGGAAGAACTGTTCATTCTTCTTTTAAAAGACTAGGGGGGCAGTGTCCCCTGCTCTCTCTGCTTCCAAACTCAGCC